GCCGGCCGGCCGGTCAATTTTTTATATATTTATATATATATATATATATATATCAAATTTTTAATTATATACATTATATTAGAATTTAGATTTATGTTATAAATTAGAATTTAATATCTCATAGTTAGAATTTAAAAATTGTTAAAGTGTAAATTATAACTAATTAACTTATAGAATTTTATTATTATTATGTTAGAACTCATTAATTATTATGTTATATAACATAATATTAATTATCTCTAATAAAATACTAAAGAGTGATGCTATTAGAAATTATAGTTCTATTTTTTTCTTAAATCCGCTCTTTTTCAACTCGGTAATAAATTTTAAAATACAAAATAATATTTTGACTTAAATTTGAAATTCATAAATACCAATTTAAATTACAAATTGAACGAAAAATATCAGATTTTGTTAGAGTAATTTATTGAGACCGATTAATTCAATATGATTTGACCGAATTTTGTGACAAGAGATTGTTTGACACTTTTCTCAGAGTTATATGATTCGTGTGAATATTATAGTAGGAAAAGCGTTCTAACAAAATAGTAATAAATTCTAATTTATAATAGTAATAATTTATACCATAATAATTTCTAACTTCTAACATAGTAGTACTAAATATTATTTCATAAGGCTATCAATTCTAAATCATACCATAATAATATCCAACTTCTAACATAATAGTAATAAATTATAATTTATAACATAATCAGTTTTAATCTATAATACAATAATTTCTAACCTCTAACAAAATAGCAATAAATTCTAATTCATAAGACAATAAATTCTAATCTATAATACAATAATTTCTAACTTCTAACATATTAGTAATAAATTCTAAGATAATCAATTCTAATATATAACATAATAATTTATACTAATATCTTTTTTTCAAACAAGTATCATTTCTGATTTATAATAATATAACTTATACTAATTATACTAATATATCATTTTTTTAACTGTATATGTTGTTAGTTCATTTTATCCTCAACAAGTGCATATCAAACATAACCTTAAATTAGGGTTTAGGGGTTTAGGGTTTAGGGTTTAGGGGTTTAGGGTTTAGGGTTTAGGGTTTAGGGTTTAGGGGTTTAGGGTTTAGGGGTTTAGGGGTTAGGGTTGAGGGTTTAGTGGTTAGGGTTTAGGGTTTAAGGTTTAGGGTTTAGGGGTTTAGGGTTTGGGGTTTAGGGGTTTAGGGGTTAGGGTTGAGGGTTTAGCGGTTAGGGTTTAGGGTTTAGGGTATATTATGTTTGTGATTGTCATTATGTTAGAAATTATTGTATTATAGATTAGAATTGATTGTATTATGAATTAGAATTTATTGCTATTTTTTTAGAGGTTAGAAATTATTGTATTATAGATTAAAACTGATTATGTTATAAATTATAATTTATTACTATTATGTTCGAAGTTGGATATTATTATGGTATGATTTAGAATTGATAGCCTTATGAAATAATATTTAGTACTACTATGTTAGAAGTTAGAAATTATTATGATATAGATTAATACTATTATAAATTAGAATTTATTACTATGTTGTTAGAACGCTTTTCCTACTATAATATTCAAACGAATCATATAACTCTGAGAAAAGTGTCAAACAATCTCTTGTCATAAAATTCGGTCAAATCATACTGAATTAATCGGTCTCAATGAATTGCTCTAACAGAATCCGATTTTTTTCATTCAATTTGTTATTTAAATTGGTATTTATGAATTTCAAATTTAAGTCAAAATTTTATTTTGTATTTTAAAATTTATTACCGAAGATAATTAGTTATAATTTATAATTTAACAACTTCTAAATTCTAAATATGAGATATTAAAT